CCCGAGAGCGGATAGTCACTGCGTTCACTGCTTTTAATCGATTTCAGGCCAACATCATCATCTGGGACTTCAATGAGAAGGAGCTTTATTGCAGACTGGAGCTCCACAAGGTCAAAGTTCAGTCGTTGGCCTTCTCCCCAAGCTCCAAGTACCTGGTGTCCCTGGGCGGGAAGGATGACGGCAGCGTGGTGGTGTGGGACGTGGTTAAGAAGGAGCCAGTGTGCGGGGCGCCAGCCGCCGTCATGAGCGCAGGCATGACGTCCTGCGTGGCCTACTGCAACAATGACGACTTGAAGTTTGTCACAGGTGGCGAGTAAGTAGCCGGTGTCAGTGCCTACCAGTGCACATCCATGCACCCTGAGAGAATGTGAGTGACCAGAGCAGGGTCTGATTTCCAAATGCAAACTTCATGCACTAGCCTGTATTAATTCACAACCAGTTTATAGAAGCCAGCAACAGGTGTGTTATAAGTGGTATCATCGGTCACCTTTTTGTCTCCATTTGACACTGATAAGTCATGTGTATCACAAGAGCTTTGTTGTGGCTTTATCAAAATTAAAAGATGCAGACAGCATTGGTGAACAGTCCTGGATAATAGGCAGTCATACAGAAATGTTAAGTCACAACTGAGGGAAACATGGAAGCAGACACTCTGTTGACCAATTGAAACATGCATGCTGGCATGATGGCCGTTCATTAATGTCTCTTACCATTCAGTGCCACATTTTGGCCCTTTTGTGAAACGAAACCCCTCATAGTCAACAAAGTTCAGGAAGCTGACTATAATTGAAACACATCGAGTCACAACACCAGTTCAGCTTCGACAAATAGTCTGACCACCTGAAAAAAAGGCATTCCGTTTGGACATTTTTTTTTGGGGGGGGGGAAGTTTTGGGCAACAGTTGTCCGTTTTTCATTGAGGATGTCACACAGTCTCTTCCGTGACTGTCTGCATCTCGATATCTTGCATGCTACCAGCACTCTCTACTTCCTTTCTGTCAGCAGTGACGGCTGCATGTTTTACCTTACTGGTGTTTTTCACTGACCGCTGAACTTGACTGATTTTCTGCAGGCGTACAATCCGCGTGTGGACCCTTGATGTGGCCAACCGCAAGATCCGTCCAGTGGACTGCAACATGGGACAGCTGAAGCGTTATGTGAAATGCATTGAGGTGTGTACATGTGTCATTGACCTCGGAGACATGTAGTGTAGTGTTTCAGTAAATAGCTGAGGGTAAAATTGGGCTTGAAGTATAGTTGGACTGCTCGTCAATTGCTTTGTAATATTGCCTATGCACAACACACTCGCACTCGAACAACCCTAGTCAAACTATTTTTTTGTAGACTATCAGCTCCACTCACATTTTGCAGTTGGCTTCAACTCTCGCGGTGTACTTGGTCAATGACATCTCGTACAGTATTTTCACATGAGTGGTTCCCTCCATACTGAGAAATTAAATCTGCTATAAACAACCAGCGGTGCAACGATGCCCCAGGGCCTGGTTCCAAATGGTCGACTAGTTTTCTCAAACCATTCATCGTTCTGGCAGTGTTGGTCAAACTGTAGTTGACAATAGTGATTGCTCAAGCTTGCTCCCGGTAGGTGTACCCATGGTCCAAATTCTGGCTTTTTTTTCACTGTTTCTCCCGGCGTACTTGTAATGCATGCACCTCAACTCATAAGATACATCCAGTGCAATTGCTCCTGTGAACGCTGCAGGTTGAGGGCTGGTAAGTTGAACATGGATGTGCATGCCATTACCTGCGTGTGTCGTGCGTATATTTAACATTGCTCGGGAGTGTTTCTGTATACATACCTGTGATTTGCACGTGGAACATGAATTGACTGTCCTTGTGCGCAGTGGGTGGGGCTTACTGGATTGCTCTATCAATGAAAAAGTGATGTTACTTGCTTCAGCCTTCCTGTAACGGCAGTGTACTGCATTCTGCTGCTATCAGGTGTCAGAGGACGATGAGTTTTTCTACTGCGGCACCACCAGCGGCGACGTGCTGCAGATCAACATCCGTAACACCCTGCTGTCCAGTCACGGCCCCGAGAAGGACAAGTACAGCCAGGGGGTGACCTCGCTGGCCCTGTTGTGGACTGGGGAAATCCTGCTGGGTGCCGGTGATGGCACAGTGGCTGTCATCAAAAAGGAAAAGTTCAAGAAGATGAAGTGAGTGGCTCTCTTCCAACTTCCTCTGTTTTTTGGGGGGGTTGAGATAAGCAGAGAAATTCTTTGACTGTGTATTGACAAGGACAGATTCAGAACCAAGTTTTTCTTGGGGGGGGGCCAAAAATGTGGAATATTTTTTGAAGTTACATGTACCTTTACAGCCTATCTTGGTCACAGAGCTACATTTTGAGGACACAAATTAAGGGGGAAAGAGCTCGCTTAATTGAAGCATTTTGAGAAATGTCCAACTTGGTGTGGGCTTAAAAAGTATGAACATGCAACGTGTGATGAGAATCTTCAGTGTCAGTTAACCTTCCTACCCACTGCTCTGAGTCTCATAGATGTTTGCATGATTTACATATTGAAGTTTCATGTAAAACACTTGTTCCTTGTTTAACTGAACCTCTGTTCTTTGTTGACTTTTCTAGGAGCCACAAGATCCCGGGCTCTGGTGCCATTACATCTCTGGTCTTGAGAGGAAAAGGACATCAGGTGAGTTTGAAGAGACAACAAACAAATGAGCCATTGTACATGTACATTTTAAAAAAGGTCCTCTATGGCCACAACCACAGCAGTTACAAAAATAAAATGTTCTAGGAGTTGTCAGTTCGCCAGTAGTATCAAAGTTGTTTTGTCAGAAAATGTAAAATTGTTGGAATAGTTCCTGGTAGTTACCATTTTAATTCAATCAATAATGCTGTTTCACTTTTTCATAAGGATGGATTTTGACTTGCTTTAGCCACCCTGTTACACCACAGTTGACACAAAATTCAGAAAACATAAGGCTTCAACCCAAGATGTTTCTCCTGATGTATCTCCTGACCCTATGGGTTTTATCTCTCCTCTCCTAGTTCTTAGTTGGCACAGAGAAGTCTCAGATACATCGCTTCAACCTGGCAGAGTTCACCAGGGAGCAGCTCAGAGATTGCCATTACAGCAGCGTGTCGGACATTGCATTCCCTCAGTAAGTGTAACCTGCCCACCCCTCCCGGCTCCATTCAGCTGCTCACGTCGTGGTTTGCTCTGAGATTTTTGTAATAAACAGCATCAGCTGGACAAGTTTTAATCCCGCAGTGCATTGGAGGCCTGAGTAAAAGGCCTGAGAACGCAGTGGGACATGTAGCACAGTTCTGAAAGAGATGGGCTTGGCCATAACTCTTTCAAGACTTTGAAGAACTGTCCAAAATTTAGGAATCATTGCTCTTCCCTGTATATCAAATGTTCAAGAATTTGTCAACCGGGAAAATAATGTACCCAATTTGAAAAGAACTAAAACTTATTTAAAGAATCACAGTCTGGTTTTACATTCTTGGTTGTACTACAAACGGACCCATCTTCAGAAGTACACACACACCAGACTCCTACTTGTCTTTTTCACAAAGTGTATGCATGATTTGTCACTTTGTGACGTGTACTTATTGACAAAGTTCACTTCCTGATTCGATTAATTGCTTCATAGCTTGCAGGTTAAAAATTACCAATCCTTTTGCTTCTTGATGTGTTTCCCACCTGCAGTGGCAGCTCAGATCTGTACATAACATGCTCAAAGAATGACATCCGCGTATGGAATACGAAGACATCCGAGGACCTTCTCTCCATTACAGTCCCCAACATGACCTGCAATGCCATTGAGCTGTTTAGAGACGGGAAGGGCATCGTCAGCGGTAAGAGTCTCGGACCGCGTTGGGGTTCGGCCGAGGGGGATGGGGATTGAGGTAGTATTGCGTTGGTTAATCTATGACCACGGAACCTGTCATCAGGCATTCAACTTTACTCCTCGGATCAGCTGATTTCCTCATTTTTCACTTCACACTCATTCCAATAAAATTTGAAAAACACTGTACAAAGTCTCGTAAAGATTGGACTTTCCTCTTTCTTTTGGTCAAAGTCCAAGCTGCATGTCTCTTTCATAGAATATACATCCCCTCATTTGGTGCACATCAGTTAGAGTCTTCATTTTCATCGAGTTGAGTTTGTTAGACCTTGCAGAAGATGTGTTAAAATGGTGTTGGAAATTAGGTGTTGCACCTTCCCAGCCAACACGATATATTGTGCCTGTGGTCAATCCGCAAACTGGTGTTTGTCCAGCACACATCACTTGGCATTAAAGTTTAGTGCAATGTTTTGTTAGTTCAAGATTCCTTAAGGCCAGAATAACAACATAAGGAGTTGGAACTCAAGTCCCTAGATATTCAAATGAACTACGACAAAAGCATTGCTTTGTCAGTGTTCACCCTGCTACTTGTGAGTGGTGCTTTGAATGATCTTGCAACGGTTTTGACTACAGTACAGCTCGTAGATTTTGATGTATTTTGTAACAGGCCTGAGTGGGCGAGAACCTCAGTCAGGGTAACTTGAGTTTATGTGGACAGAGCTGTTTATGGAGAGAGTTGTGACATGAGTGTTTCAATTGTTGGAACCAAAATGGTGGCACATGGACAATTAGCACACAATAGCCATTTTGGTGCCAAATCTGAGGTTGGTGCAACTCGCCTTAAACATCTCTACATGAGGATATTTTAGACCGCCCTCAGTGCTTCTCATTTCACAGCCTGGGATGACAACAAGATCCGCGTCTTCTACCCGGAGTCGGGCAAGCTCAAGTTCCACATCAATGATGCCCACACAAAGAAGGTGACGGCCATCACCACCACCTCGGACTGCCGGCGCATCATCAGCGGGGGAGGGGAGGGCCAGGTGCGGGTCTGGGCTGTCGGCGGTGAGCAGGCGAGCCTGGAGGAGACCATGAAGGAGCACAAGGGGGAGGTGACCTGCATCGTGGTCCGCAAAAACGACCGGGAGTGCATCAGTGCCAGCTTTGACGGCTCCTGCATCATCTGGGATCTCCAGTAAGCTTTGTTTGATTTTGGTCTTCTTTGTTTTCATGTTTAACCACAGTACTTGTTTGTCCACAGCATCTGAGTCAGAACCGAAGCACTTGCCATTTCTCACTCATTTTAAGAGTTCTAAATATGACTCCTTCATTCTATTTTACTACTCATACAAATTATTCGAATTTCCGAGGTTTTCCCAGCTTCTGTGTTAACTTTATGTGGTACCACTTCACATGTCACTGCTGATTGTTGTAAAAGTAGGAATAACTCAGGCTGGAGCACAGATCTCTGTCAAAGGACGCCTTCTTTGAAGAAAAATTACAACTGCATTTTCAACGCAGTGTTCAAATGTACTTCACACGCTTAGCCGATGTGCGTCACGAAAATTTGACGTCCAAACTGAAGATGCATGCGGTAATCTGTGGGAAGTAACATTTGACAGATACCTATTCTTTTTCTTGACATTCACTCATGTAGACGTTTCACTCGACACCTCGTGATCTTTGCCAACACGCTGTTCAAGTGTGTCAGCTACAACCAGGAAGAGTCCCAAGTGTTGACGAGCGGAACTGATAGGAAGGTGAGAACCACTGCCAGTTTAGCTTCATGCTGTAGGAAGATCAGGCAGAGAGCTGGGTTGAGGAGATATATGACTGGGAAAAAGAAAGGAAAATGGAGGAGACTTGCTGTTCTCACAGATTTTAAAGTCAAGGATTAATAAGACATTCTTTGGAAAGTGAGGTTTTTACAGTGGTGACTTTCTGCGGTTTGGTTTATTGTCTGTAATTTAAGTCAATTTTGAAATTCCAATCCTATGATTCCGAGTTTGAAATGTGTTGCCGCCCAGATTGGCTACTGGGAAACCTTTGATGCCAGCCAGATCCGCGAAATGGAAGGAGCCAGCACAGGAGCTATCAACGGCATGATGGTGTCACCAGATGGCATGAGCTTTGTGACTGGTGGCGATGACAAGCTTATCAAGGTAGGGGGAAGTATTAAGATGTCCTTTTTCTTTCCGCAAAAATGAAACTTATACATTCTGGGGGACATCATGAAGGAGTGGCATGAGTACACTGTACCCTTAACCACCTGCTGATGGTATTACTCTGCAACGAACTTGTCCCAGGCCAGTATTATTTCTGGCCAAATGCACCGACCTTCAGAAGAAACGAGATACCACAACCGCAGTCCTTCACAAAGTTGAAAGTGAGTACATCCATCACCTAGCACTGCGTACAATGTGCCAAACTGTGTTTAAATGTCCTCTGGGTAACCACCCGTCAGGGACCAATTTCATAGAGCTGCTTAAGTACAAAATTTGCTTAAGCGCAAGAAAACCTTGCTTGATAAATCAGGTAACCAACCAAAACTCCGTGTGATGTATATTGTTTGGGATCGCATTTAGCTGTCTTTTGGTTAGCATGACAATGACATAAAGTTTGAACTGGTAACCTTTGTTTATTAAGCAAGGTTTGTCACGCTTAAGCAAATTTTGTGCTTAAGCAGCTCTATGAAATTGGCCCAGGCTACAGGTGTGAAGTGGTTAAAGGGTATGCATTATCATGGAGGTTAGGTAAGAGGACTTTTGGAAAGAATTTCTATTGAAAGTATTTGGCCTTTGTTGGCAGTTTTGCCTAGGATGATAAATGCCATTATTCTTCCTAAGAAATAAAGACAATATTCTGTGGCCTGCTCCCGAAAACCAAGGCAAGGAAAAGACACATTGAGTACAAACTGAAAACTTGGACCTTGCTGGCTTACTTTTACGGTTTGATTCTCACTACACCATGTTGTGATTCAACGGAGTTTGTGGGCTTAGAAGAGGATATGAATGCTTGGGTTTTACTGGCTCGTTTTCTCACTTTGCCTCCGAGTATTTCAATAGCTTTCGGCAGCTGATAACATCTTACCTCCTCTCCTTCTCTCGACAGTTTTGGGATTATGGGGATGGTCGGGTCACCCACGTCGGCATCGGCCACAGCGGTGCTATCAATCGAGTGCGCATCTGCCCCAACCAGAAATTTATCGTCAGTGTCAGCCAGGATGGTGCCATCATGCGCTGGAAATACCCTAACTGAGAGACCCGTGCTTAGTACCGTCAGGGTGAATTGATTCACTTTTCAGATGCGCAAATTTGCTTTGTGCCGACTTCTTGAGGGATGGGGGGGTCACTTTTACAGTTTCATTTCAGTGCCTGCCTTGAATGTGAAATGATCAGTGAATATCATACTTTTACAAGTAGTTTGCCAGTTATCAAGTGTCTCTGCGTTAGGATGTAATACTGATAATGTTCCATCCTTTGTTTTGTCACTGTAGCGTGTGGCAGCATAAAAACGATGAATGTTGCACTCTTGTCCACTTGCTTTAACCTCAGAAATGCTTCCAAATATTTGTCGATATTTAATGAGAGATTTAAAAGTCTTGGGAAAACAAAGAATTGTTTCCCCCAGGTTAAAAAGTATCGTTCGTGGTAAAATAAATTTTGACAAATTCCGTCCTTATGCATTTCCCCCCGAGATTTAATGCTGCCTTCTAATTGTCCGTCTAGAAACAAGCAGTATCAGTAGTGTTTTAGAATTAAATTTGGAGGGTCTTTACTTTCTCATGAACAGTTCGTAGAAATGCCTGATTTGATCAATTTTCTTATTAGGTCTGTTTCAGAACACACGGATGTAGTAGGGCATTGCATTACAGACATGGCAGATGATCTATGTATGGCAAGGTATTTTAAAAATATGACAACCGGTTTCATGCTGTCATTTTTGTTGTATATTTATAAAACTTGTAAATAATATCGTTGTTATTCTTTAAGCAGTAGTACATACACAGGTCGTCCCCTTTTTGTTTATTGGTGAAAGGGGCTGTCTTTTCCTGCACTATTGAATTTTAAGCCAGCAAATAATCAGACAACAGACGATGTCAAGTACGGCATTGTATCTTTAATGAATCCGTCCATCCAGAGCTTTTTGGAATATGCGTATTGCTCATCCGTCCTAATTTAACATGCTTTCCAAATTAATACCCACTTTGTACATTGAAAGGGTCGTTTTGTTCTCGAATGTGGTCATGTTTGTAGATGATTAACAGCTTGAAAATTTCTGATGAATCTGATTTCTCTTGTCATCACATGTAATTGTTACAAAGTGTATAATGTTGCTATAAATATGGAGTTGTGATCAAATGGGTGTAATAAACAGCATGTTTATTTGACATTGTGCCTTCATGACACCCTGTGCATTTGCGTGCTGCGTGTCGAAACTTTATGTTGAAGTAGGAATTATGCATGTTTAGTCACACATTTCAACATCAAGCGTCAGCAGACAAATGAAAGAAATTAAACAATACAAAATTTTTGTTCAACTTTTAATGTAATTCCAACTGAAGAATTGCCAATACACATGCTCCCTGGCAGAATCCAATATGTGACAAAGTTTTACAATTCCTTACAATAGTCCAAGCAATTACCACCCTCACATGAGTAGACTCTGTATCAGCTAGATTCAACAACTGACAGAAGCGACCTATGAGCCCCCAAGCTGGACCAAGAGAGGGTGCAATTTTCTTAGCAATGGAGGCTCCGTTGGTTGGAACTGCACTCTGCTGGTTCACAAACGACTATGGAATGCATGCGTTATGGTCGTGTTGCTACCAACAAAATGAGCACTCCAGGCCAACATGGCTCCATTCGACTGTCGAAGGAGTGTTTCTGCTCAAGGTGATTCAAAGACTAATTCTGTTTTCATTTATGAAAGGTCTGGATATACAGTTGCAATTCAGGATTTGTGAGCACTCGGTGTGAACTGATCACCAGCAATGATATTTTTATGCAACAGTCACAAAAACCTTTGGTTGTGAAAGGAATTTCATACTTTGCGATTTCATTGTAACAGACATTCCGAGTTTGTTCTCCCCACAGGAATGTGCACATTTCAGCCAGGACTGAAGAAGTGTCTGTTACAACCAGAAACCAGAGTTCAGTACCACATGACCATGTGTAAGCACTGCAATACATGCATACGTGATGGTACAAAGGTGAAAGAATTTTTTTCGGAATGTGTACAAATCAGAAGCCTTTCCCCTTGAGTGCCAGACAAACAGTGGTGATGGTATCCAAGTATCTGCTACAGCATGTTCAGTAAGATTATTCATTGCAGAGTTCAAGAATATTTCACTTTCCTGACACAAGCAGTGAGTAAAAAAAATGGACCAACAGATGGTGTAAGGGGCACTTTTAAATTCCTTCAACTTAGGAGAAAATGTCTGCTTGAGCATCCAAATTCCAAGAGTTTTGAAATGAGAGGTAAAAAGTTTCAACATGACGCAAGACACAAGTAGGTAATCTTTGAGATTTAATACTCTTTCTTGACAGAATAAATTTACAGTGCATAATTTATTTACAATGCAGCCATGATACAAATAATTGCAAAAAGCTGTTCTCCACTTGATGCAGAAATAAAATACATGTACATTTGCATACCCAGTCCAAAAAAGTCTAATTTTTTATCAAATAATATTAGAATAACTTTGAGCAGCTATGATGAGTCAAAGTCTTAAAGAGTAGCGCTGGATGAAGAAAAGGACACATTTTTTCCAAACCTGCGTGTAGCTGAAGACCAGAAATCTGAACTAATCTCTCATCTGGATTGTTCCTGTAATTTTTTACATTTGCCACATCAAGGTCAGCTCAAGTAAAAAACCCACAATACATGTAGTTGACACAAGAAGTTGGTGGCACAGGTATGCCATGTAAAAAAAAAAAGTTGTGTTTAGCAAGGACCAGGTCACCAGTCGACGTGAGAAGTGAATGCTTGTAATTGGTCATCCACTGGCTCTAGCAACCACAGTCACTAGTGACTGTGGTTGCCAGCTGGGTTAGGGCAACAATCCGTTGTGAACTTGAAATCGGAGTTGCGATTCCAACTTGGGCACAGGCAAACCTCTGCCCTCATGAATGATCTGTAAACCCGAGCAGTCCTCCATCCTCCCAACGGGTGAAGGATTGAAGACTGTTGGAGTTAAGGGAGGTTCTACCAACTACTTCTTGCTGGTGAAAGTTTGAATGGATTCTGAATGGACCGCCTTCTTCCAGAATGGAATTGGCAACAATTCCTAAAATGTTGGAGTTGCCCACATATGCTGCCCGTTCTTTGCTATTGCTGCCTTGTTATTCTTTCCCCCTCCCCTGACAAACCCTCAGCGTTAACGCATCACACACTCAGCCGCGCAAAACATGTATACAGCGCAACACTTTCACTTTGAAAATGGTCAATAAAACATCTTGTGTAACATTTGCTCTCTCTCTTGCCGTATGCTTTACAGGCGGCCCCCTCACAGCACACCAGTCATTCAATTTTACTAGGTGTTCAATATGCATGTGTCACAGCCACTTCAGTTTAAGTACATGTACATGTACAGAAACTGAATGATGGTTTTGTTTGGGAGCCAAACGGGTCTTCATTCTAATCACTGCAAATGGCTGTAGCTCGAATCAACAAAAGATGTGAAAATGATGACCTTGACACAGATTCTTCAGTATATACAACACGGTTTGCACCTGGCTACCTGTGACGAGTATATCAGTCTCCAGCAGCAAAGATCATGCACAATTATACACAAGTAACATTGCACTGCGCATATTGTTGGAGGGAAAATTTAGCATTGAAAAGAAAGACCAATACTGAGAGTGGGCAAGAGTAACCCTTCAGCCCCAGGCTTCGCTCTTGCAGTAATGTAGCACCAGTTTGCCGTCACTGCCATAGCACTGCAACGAAAGCAGAAGAGAAAAAAAATGAATACAAACGGAAACTTACTGTTGGAGAAATGGAATCATAATTCTTTAAAATGTATTTCGCTGAAGTCTTCCTTCTTTCATCTGTGCTGCCGGGAAATCGATTTTGAAAAGCTTTTTCCAATGAAATGATTTTGGATTTTGAAGTTGATTTGACGTCAGAAATGACTTCATATCACGGTCAACTCTTTATGGTTTGAACTGCAGCAAGAAGTGAACTGTTTGTTTTGTTCAAGGAGAAAATATCCATTTGCCTTTGTAGCACATTATTTTTACCTCAAATAGGTTTCCGATTTCTTGGTCTGGTGATGGAGCAAAGGCTTGATTAACATACAGAAACTATGGGAACAAACATAACAACTGACAGTAATCTTTAATTGTGGGAGGAATTTATTTTAATCCATTGCCAGGGAACGTTGATAACATGCATAATCAAAGTGACTGAGCATTTCATTGAAATTCCTGGGGCATTTCACTATCATCTGATCAATTAATGTAACACTTTTCAACAAAATACACTTGTGGGACCTTTTTTTGTTTTTAAAATTTGAAACACTTCAAAACTGGTGAGCATACAACATCAACAGATAAAACAAATTACAATATGCAGTCTCGGGAGTTCCTGGCACTGAATGGGGTAACTACACAGAGTAGAATTTTACCCAAATGCTAAGGAATTTCTTAGTCAATGAACATTTACAGAAACTAACGTTTAAAGAGTCTGACATTTACCAGTGATTCTGAGGGATCACACTTGATGTACTTTCTGATGAATTCAATGACCCACGAGACTTTCTTTGTCCTGTCGACAGCCCATTTCTTCTTCTTCATGATTGGTGCATCTGCCGTCGCTTTGAGTAGTATATCAACTGCAAATGTGAACAGTTTAAGGTTAACCAGATAGGGTCCATGAACTCCCCTTGGTGAGGCTGGTAAACTAATTGGTTGTCATGTCAAGTCGCCCCTTACCGACTCGCCCCTTTCCAACTCAACCCCTCATAAACTTGCCCCCTGACTGACTCGCCTCTTACCAACTCTTACCGACTCGCCCCTAGGAAGTGGTTCTAATACCAATCAGTCAGTCAATCAGTCGACCAATCAGTCGACCAATCGGCCACTCAATCAGTCGGTCAATCAGTCGACCAATCGGTCACTCAATCAGTCGGTCAATCAGTCGACCAATCGGTCGACCAATCAGTCGACCAATCAGTCACTCAATCAGTCGACCAATCGGTCACTCAATCAGTCGGTCAATCAGTCGACCAATCAGTCGACCAATCAGTCACTCAATCAGTCGACCAATCGGTCACTCAATCAGTCGGTCAATCAGTCGACCAATCGGTCACTCAATCGGTCGACCAATCAGTCGACTAATCAGTCGACCAATCGGCCACTCAATCAGTCGGTCAATCAGTCGACCAATCGGTCGACCAATCAGTCACTCAGTCGACTAATCGGTCACCAGTCAATCGGTCGGTCAGTCACTCGGCATATACTGCGAAAATTGATTTAGGTTCTTGGATATACGCTTTTTTTCAGTCATTTTGTAGTCATTGTGGTACATTGTACACTAATGTCAATTTCTAACGTCCCATTATTAATTTTTTTCTGGATTTGAATATCTTGAAAATATGACTGTTTTTAATTTGTTTCCTAGTAACGGGCACCAGATGATATATTGATGATTGTATTTTTTATTTTAAGGTGAATGGGCCTGCCATACGTGCTTGGCAAACGTAGGGGGCGAGTTGGCTAGGGGGCAAGTTGGTACGGGGCGAGTCGGCTAGGGGCGAGTTGGTTAGGGGCAAGTTGGTAAGGGGCGAGTCGGCTAGGGGCGAGTTGACCTACAATCACTAATTTGGTAAAATATCCCGTCTTGATGATCTGCCCACTGCCTTTTTTCATGAGGCTTTGGCCCAGAATCAATGGAAGAAATGGGTTGGCTTACCTTTATCGTTCCTTTTCTTATTTGGACTTGTCAATGTTGTCTCCTCTTTAGATCTGTCTTGCTGTAGTTGAACATTTCCACCGGTTTCATCAGAAGTTCTGTCAGTTTTCGATGCCGAGTCTGTTTCCGCCATGTTTACTGTTTCGACTTGCCGTCGACAAGTGTTAGCGCCCTCTTGTGTTATATCTAAACTAGTCTTTTAAATAGAACACACGGTTTGCCATTTCGGCATTTTTGTCCTGCCCGTGGAATGGTGGAAATACACGACATTTCAACCGCATTGGACAACTGACACCGAAGGTATTCGTCAGAATGCTGATCAAGGAGTATAGGATATGCATGCCACTAAGCGTCGAAGAGGTAGGGAGAGTTTGGAAGAAAGTTCTGACCTCGTAAAAGTTGCGATTGCTGACATTGCTCACTGAAGCAGTACTACTACTAGGCCGGTATTTAACGCGTACCGCTGTATGCGTTAAATGTAACCACCGTTGAACTTCCCATCTCTCCTCAGCTAAAAATTACAATGTAGGCCTAGGCTAACACTAAATAACAGTAAGCTAATAAAGGATTTAAAGTTAAATAATAAAAGATTTACAGTTAACCAATTTGCTCTTTTACAAAGGAAACAATAGTACCATAGTCGTAATTCGGTCTTATGGTTGTCGGGTTGGTGGTTGGGCCAAGGTGATGCAGATTATTATTTGTTGATAGTCCACAGCGAATGTATTAAATAAGAAACAAGTGCAATAGAAATTGAATTGAAGTCACTAAACCTCCAGGAGGGACGTAAACAACTACGTTTGATATTGCTACACAAGGTAGTTGCGGGGCTGGTGCCAGCAATTCCCCTGATTCCCACTTCAAACCAGGCAGAAGAACTAGACCAAAAGAGTCAGACAGTTCACTCTCATCAAATGTATTAGTTCCATTGCTGCAAACTAGTGCAAGTGCTTTGAAGTACACCGATACAACGCAGATCAACTTAAAACTCTTTCTTCAATAGATCAATTAGCGACTGGAACTACCTCGACGACATCTTTGTTCAGACCAAAAGACTCAATTGAGTCTGCAAGTTTAAAAACCTCCTCAGTCACAGACCCCACTCTCTACGTACCAACCCCCAACACCCACCCCCCTCTCTTCGTTGCATTAAAGTCACAATTGGTGTCTTCAGCGTATTGTCACAGATACAGAATAAGAATGAAAAATCATAGCCTTTGAACCTGGTGCGTAAGCCTTTTTCTGAATAATGTTTGGCGCATTGCTGCTCTAGCTTTGTTCACTTCATAGCTTGGGGGTGCTATCATCAACGTGACAACAGAACAGAAAAATTGGCTTATTGCAACTGCCATTTGGCCTGCCAATTATAGTACTAAACCACTTGTTTGCTTGTAACTTGTGTTTCATGGTGGGACTTGGCATATTACATGTAGGCCTATGCGGTGTATAATGGAACACCCATCACCCCGATAGAGTGCTACCGATTTGTGGCAAAATCTTAGAACTTTGTTTAACGAATAATTTGTTCTAGGAACCGTTCCAAATACATGTACATGTATTGTCAAGCTCTCCACTCTGCAGGACTTAGTTAGACCCAGTGCTGTATTCTGAGCTTCTTCTTTTTCGAGGGCCCTCCACTTTTGCCCAGTTAGAATCTGGGCTGCACCTCACTCGTTCTTTCAAACTTTCCTCTAAGGGTTTCAAGGAATCTTAAAGGCACTATAGCAGTCATTAGTAAAGGCTTTGTCCTTGCAATATCTTATTTGTTTATTTCTGTTCATCCAACAGCGCATAAAATTAGGGCCAATTAAAGGATGGGAGGACAGTTAGGCTCCCTAAGAAGACAGTGAAAAAATGTTGAGTTTTAGAGGAGGGAGGAACTGGGGAAAACTCCACCTAAATATTCTGGGGAAAACCCATGGAATCAGGTGGGGACTGAAACCTCGATCCGCATGCCGACCTACGTGTATGGTACATGTACATGTAGGTGGGATTCAAACTTGGGTTGCAGGGGACTGTGGCAGACGAGGAAAGAGCCACCAACCTGACTCCCCAGTCACGTACATTGCAGGCCTACATGAACAAATGTGGAAACAAGAAAGTAAGGAAAGGATGCCAGAATCTGTTTCACCTTTTTGTGTCTGTGATGACCAGTTGTGAATGTGTATTCAAAAATACTTGAACAGGCTTAATAAATGTGTGAGCTTTTGAGTGGATAGCGTCACATGAGAACGTTCTCTTACTTAACATGCCCCAAAACCGGAGTAAAAACACCAACAGGATTTTGCTTTTGTGATTTTCCCTTTGCATTTCCCTTGGATATGTTGTCTGACCACATCTACATGTACTGTACCTGTGCTGGAAATAAAAAATTGACCAGAAAATTGCCGACGTTTCACATTCTGATGTAATAACTGTGGGATAACACTCAACGGACTAGTTAATACACGGTTTCCTCAGTAATACAGAGACCATGTGTGAAGCAACTTTCAAAAGGTGTTTTTCCCCTTAGAAGTGATCAGGTTGTCACAGTTCACACAAACGTACAGTCACTGGTACGCTGCATAATCTTCAGCCCTTAGCTCGCATTGCTGAGATCACAATGTAACATGATTAAATGCATCTAAACTGTCCCGTGAGTTCACACTACCCGGTACAGTGAGCAAATCACAGTCTGAAATCTCTGCATGATTCATCACTGCACCCGCAACAGAAGACAGATATAATATACATCAACGTGTCCACTTGCGTACCATTTCCCATTCGTCATAAGCACTAGCTGGGTTTGAACAGGCACAGATTTCAGACCAGAGTCACTTGACCCAGATTTTGAAGGAGGGGGGAGGGAATAATTACCCCTGTGGGCCCCACATGGGAAGGGGTTGGCACTAAATCCTCCTGTGCAAGGGATTCAGGCTTGGTGTATAAATGTAGCTCATGGTACAGTACATGTACCGCTACAGTTCAACAGCGTCTGTGATTATCTGGACTTTGGGTTTGGATGATGTGGTCTTGATTGGTGCTGTTTTGTCATTTGTTTTTTTTTTGTAAAGAGTCTAAGCTGGGAAACAGTGTACAGTATACCAGTTAAGTGATAGTGTGTAGTTTGAATGACATATTTGATATGACTGGTTTGCCCATTTTCTGGTGTGATTAAAATGTAACTTGGTTTGAAGCAAGCAACAGATTTCGGTTGCACGGTGATAGCTAGTACATGTATGTTGTCTGATGAGCTATTTAAGCATGCCGGTAAATTGTCTTGTTTTTTTTTTAACGTAGAGCTGTAAAAATCGCTTTTAATTTGTTTTGTAATGTTACTCGTACCCAGGTGTTTTCTGCATACATTTTATTTACAATATACCAAGTACCTGTACTTGCTTTTTAAACTGTTTTGTGTGTTCCTTTGGTTTTCTTAATTGAGTGGCACTGGCAGTGTAGTTGAGGCACTGTCCATTTCTAAATATGACCTTAGCATCTGTAACATATCCTGTAACCTGATCCGGTACCCCACATATCTAAAAGACCATGATGTCAATGGCTAACAGACCCGATCCCTTGGAGTGGTGAGGCCTGCTATAATGAAATGAGGAATAAGTCAAAGGAGCTGTTTTTGTCAATTATCTGATGCTGCTGCTCACCTTGAAGTGAGTAAGCTGAAGTGATTCAGCCACCATGTAATGTACATGTACACTTACCGGTACAGGTACCAGTACCAGAACATGGCTATGGCTACATACCGGTATATGGCTAAATGTTACGGCTACGCATCAAAATGACATTTGTGGCTATGGAAGCCACTGGCCGGCAGCCCCTTGTCATACAAACTGACCACATACCCGGTACATCACTGCTGGCCACAGCCACTTTTTTTTTTCATGTGGCATATTCTGAAAGCAGCTTGCGCCCATTTCCCCTGTACAGATTCTGCTTAGAGCCAATTAATTAAAGTTGAAAACCAACTTGATCTTACTTTACAACATACATGTACCAACTGCACAACACCTGAATGCCAAACATATTGTGTACATGTACCAGTATTGCATGCAGAATGTTTTTCCCAGCGCGGGAGATTGTGTTATTGTGTTCATTGTTTTGTGCCCTAATATTTAAATTAAAAAAAAGAAGCCCTCAAACCTGAGAGCTCAGTTTGTTACAGATGACATTTAAACCTTCCTGAAACTACGTGTATTTTGTCAAATTTGTTCAGAGCCTACCTGATATGCAAGCATGAATGGAAAAACAAGGTACATGTATGTTGTCTTGTCCTGAAATCAATACTCAGAAGAAAAAAAGTTATTCCTCATTTTAATGGAGCCAGTATTACGTGTACAGTACATTGGAACCTTTCAATCTGGAGCAGCATTATTGAGGGGAATGGCTAAGATTGGGCAGGATTTCTGAGTCACAGTACAGTGCATTGTTGAGGCTCACTAGCCAAGCCCTTTTATCATGTTGATGGACAGCATGAAGGAAAGAAAAGGTGCCCAAGTTTCCTGGGGCCAATGTCCTGAATTCTAGAGAAGTCAACTACTGCAAACTGGAATGTAATGCAGTTGATGGCAGTGACTTGCTTTAAACATGGTTGCATATTGCATGTGCATGGCCTAGTCTACTCTCACTCAGTTTTCTAGAGCACAGTGTAGTAGGGTAGGGGAAAGTTGCCCCTGAGATATTTTGTTTTACCCTAACAATCTCGGACCAGCCTAACTCCAACACCAGGGCTTGTTGGAATCTGTTAGGATGAGCACTGCATTGGTATGATGCTGACTGTGTTGTGGGTGTGATTAGGCATACCACAGGTAGAGACCCAACTGTTCATGTGCTCAGGATGGTGATGGGATTTGCACAGATGAGGAAGGTTTCCAAGAAAATTAATCTAGGAAGTTAGGGTTCAGGAACTAAAAAAGGATACTACTACACCCGATCTTGGAGGATTTTGAGTTCTTTTACTAGGGAACAACACAGGACTGTCATTTTTTGAAAAGCAGATTTTAGACACATATACCAGTACATGTACATGTATGTATTCCACTGTTCTTGCATTAACCTTGTGTCAAAAGACAAGACAGGGCACCTCAGATTTTTCTGAGTGAAGGACACAGCAGCACAGTGCACATGTGCAATCTATGAATTTGGAGCTGTCAGTCTTGATTTGCTTGTATACCCTTGAAAGTGAAATCAGCCCGCAAGCTTTCAGCAGGAGATCAATTTTTCGTCAGCTCCCATTGATTGAAGATAACACCAGGTAGATGACGCCCTATGTGTAGAAATTGTACATGTAATTAACCATACACTGTGCTACATGGATGCTAAAAGTGTGATTAGAATTTACAAGGTTTTCACTTCCACCCAGTCCACGA